GGTCCCTAAACGAATGGAAAACCGTGGCTGGGTCAGATGAGTCACGATTTCAGTTGGTAAGAGCTGATGGTAGGGTTCGAGTGTGGCGCAGACCCCACGAAGCCATGGACCCAAGTTGTCAACAAGGCACTGTTCAAGCTGGTGGTGGTTCCATAATGGTCTGGGCTGTTTTTACATGGCATGGACTCAGTCCTCTGGTGCAACTAAACCGATCATTGACTGGAAATGTATACCTTCAGCTACTTGGAGATCACTTACAGCAATTCATGGACTTCACGTACTCAAAAAACGATGGGATTTTTATGGATGACAATGCGCCATGTCACCAGGCCACAATTGTTCGCAATTGGTTAGAAGAACATTCTGGACAATTCCAGCGAATGATCTGGCCACCTAGATCGCCCTACATGAATCCCACCAGACATTTATGGGACATCATCGAGAGGTCAGTTAGTGCCCAAAACCCTGCACTGTCAACACTTTTACAATTATGGACGTCTATAGAGGCAGCATGGCTCAATATTCCTGCAGGGCTTCCAAACTTGTTCATCATGCCACGTCGAGTTCTGCCTTCGCGGGCAAAAGAGGACTGAAAAGATTAGGAGGTCCCTGACTTGTCACTTCATGTATACGTTAACGTCGGAATTTCAGCAAAAAAAGTTGTATGCAGTCTATTTAGTCCTAAATAGTATACAGGTAAAATGTTGTAAAAATTGCACTTACCGTTTTAATTCTGTGGGTGTTCCATGAGGTGGAACACTGCGCCGCCAGAGCTTATAAAAGTGCGACTAAGCGAGCTTTGCAGTGAAGCACGAAAATGAGTAGAAGCGTTTGCATAAGAATGAAAAAACTCTGTATTATGGCTGTATACATGGTTTCCTGGATATACACAATATTCTTGAATATATACGAATAAATGAGATACATATCTATATACACAAGTCCTATATACAAAAATGTTTATAAATTTTCCTATTTCTTAGCTTCGTGAAATTGTTCAAAGCAAGTCACACCTTTTTGATGGAAGCACAAACCAACTTTGCAGATTTTTCACATAAAACGTGTTTTGTGCGGCTTCTGTTTCATGCTATAATGTGCACATCATCTACGCGTACCCTTCACCGATATGTGTTCAACACCACTGTAGCGTTTTCCCCCAGAAACCTTTACTTTATGCCTGGAAGTATCTTCAGGTCTTGAAGGAAGTCGCCTCTTTAAAGTTATCTTTGAAGCTTTCGTGACACAGAGGGAACACAGCAAATTTAAACAGAAATCTTTGGGCTGTAATCCGAGGGTTATTCATGAAACACTTTTAGCGCTTCAGAAAGAGTTAGACTTCTCCGCGCCATTTATGGAAAATTAATAATAAAAAAATTAACTACGATTAATATTAACAATAAAGAAAAATAAGCCTATAATGTATACATACACGAAAAATATCTACACAATTATTGAAAATAAACGGGAATGAGACTAAAAAGACCAGCAAAAAATTCGCGTAGGTCTAAGTAAAGATGAGTGAAGCTACTAATGAAATTCCCGCCTAAAAACTACCCCAAAAATTTCGAGATGCCAATATTAATGGCTTTCATAACACAAAAAAACACACCTCGCCCCTCAATGCTGCTTTGTTTGAATTCATTCCCCCCCCAAAAAATCAACGGAAACAGAAAACGAAAACAACGGATGTTCTCTCCTGAGAGCACAGATGTTCTGATTAGTAAGAGCATGAGATTGCTAAAGGCGCAGTGTTCCCGCTAATGGAACACCTGGTTTTATTCAATGATTCTGCGTATGATTTTTGTATGAAAGATTAAAAAAATATAGAACAAATAATTTGGAGTACAGCCAGCAAAAATTATGCCTATTTTTTTCCAAATAAAATTTTTTATATCATTAAAAAATAGAGAAAATTACTTGAAAAAAATGGATTTTAATAACACATAATAAATTAAAGTTCTGTGTCTCCTTGTGATATGCTGCTATCTACGGTTTAAAAAGAAAAGTTCAAAGTATCTTATAAAGGCATTTTTATCTACTTACGGTTGAATTTAAAAGGTTTCAGAAGCGATTCAATTTGGGTGTTTCATGTAGTGGAACACTGACCCGCAAAGGGTTAAATATTTTGTTGCTGAATTGTATGTGGCCTAAGTGTGAAAAAAAAATTATGCTTAATAATAAAGCTAGAAACACACACACACAAAGAACAGGAGTGAGTGCAAAAGCAGACTGTGAGCTCAGCAAGTCAAAAGTGACTTTTACGCTCTTGCTTCAGTTTCAGATCCCCCCTCTCTTCTTCTTTTTTTAAATCCTTTAAGGTTAGCAAGTTTAGAAGGTAAAAGACAAAAGAAGGATAAAAAATGGAAACATAAAATTGTTGGTCTTCATCAGGAAGAGAAGACTGCAATTTTATGTGATCAAAAACTTTTCTAAAGTTAATTCTAGAAGCATTTAAAAACATACTTAAGATCAATAATTGAAAATAAAATTCACTCCAGAAATAAATCTGCTCAAGATGGCTTAAAATATGCATTGCCATATGAAAAAGCAAAAATGGCAAGTAGGACCAGAAGCTGACAGAAATATGGAACATTTTTTAAATTGAAATAAAAAATGTGCATCTGTTTGAACCTTATTTGAAATTGATTAAAATATTTTATTTAATTATTAAAATACCAGAAACAAAATAATTTCAACATGTGGCAGTGTAGAGAACAATGACATTTTGCCCTGGCAAAAGAATTTGCAATAGTCAGAAACAGCTATACAAATTTTAAAAATACTCATAAAAAATGGGCCAAGATAAATGTTTGGAAAACAGAAATTTTTCAGAACAAGATGTGCATGCCATTGTTTAAACCAAACATGATATTCACAAAAGGCAGTACAGTAATAAAAATCCCAGCACTTGAAACAGTTAAATAATCAATATTAAGTTGTAAAGTTAAATTTTAAAGCAAAAACAACAAAATGTAATCTCTACATATAATAAAAGAAAGAGTCTGTCTGTGTGTCTTTCGTTCGTGCTGCACGTAAGCTTATAGGCCCAGGGCTACTAAATTTGGTACATAGGTGCATCTAGACAAGAGCCAGTGCACCTCAAAGTGATTTTTTTCTTTTTTCAAAATTTAAATCAAATTTTTTTTTTATTTTATCTTTTTTAATGAAATCACATCATTTTGAATAGTTTCATTCTTTTAGAAATGTGGTTTTGGGAACAGTTTTTCAATCAATGCTTTGTATACTGGACTGCTGTCTGTTGAAAATATGAGATAAAATACTGCTTATTTTCTTTGATTTTGGGGCATGTAACACACATATCGCAATCTTATTCTGAAGCGATGCGTCTTGCGAGGCACAACAGAAAGAATTTTCTTTTTTTCCCCTCTCTTTATTAGCTAATGGCAAAGAGGTTTGTATATTTTGAATTATATCATCCACAAAGCACAATTTTGATTGTTTATTGCTTTCTGAGTATAGTTGTTATTTGGGATTAATGATGAAGGAGTGAAATCTGTCCACAAAATTATAGCTTAAGATGATCTCACAATCCCAGAAGGAACAGGATTTTTACTTCCTGGATCTATAGCCGAAAATAGAAATTTCCGGCTATGGTTGATTTTGTTATTGCCACTACTGCCGATATTGTCTCAGGGTCGAAGGGAAATATGAGCTGCTGAAACCAGTCACATGAGAAACTACAACATCAACATTGATTGATCATCGACCATGGAGTGTCAAAGAAGTCAGGAAAGTCCAGCTGGAAGACTGTGACATTAAACCCATAATTGAAATAATGAAGTCTTCAAACAGAAAAGCTACCTGGTAAAACATTTTGATCTACAGTCCTAGAACAAAACAATATTGGACTTCCTGGGATTCACTCCTTATTCGAAATGGCATCTTTTACCGGAAATTTGAATCAGATGATGGAAAGACTTTCCGATGGCAATTAATACTTCCAAGGTCCCAGATTCTAGATGTCCTTAAAGAACTGCATAGCAGCCTTACAGGAGGCCTCCTTGGAATAATGAAGACCTTGCAGAGGGTTCAAGAGCGATTTTGCTGGAATAATGCAAAGAATGATGTGCAAAAGTAATGCCAATCCTGTGCGAGTTGGAAAGGGCCGAAGAAACACAGCCAAGGAAAGCTGCAACATGTTGGAGCACTTTTTGAATGTATCGCCTTTGACATCTTGGAACCTCTGCCGTGAACTGCTGATGGCAACAAATACATCCTCATTTTCATTGATTACTTCACAAAGTAGCCTGAAGCATATCCTATTCTTAATCAGGAGGCTGTCACAGTAGCCTAGATAATGATTACAGCACTTAATTTCCGCGTTCGGAGGGCCTCTTTAGTTACATTCCGATCAAGGTAGAAATTTTACTTCGGCTGTAATCAAAGAACTTTACAAGGTTTTAAGCGAAAGCTAAGCCAAAAAATAAAAAATAAAAGAGCATGCACATTTAACATTTAAAAAATAGCTATCTCATAATTTATATTTAAATTGAATAAATGTAATTGACTACTGTGATATCTGTAATCATAATTCTACTCTTTTGATCTCCAGAAACCCCGAGAAAACAGAAATTACCAGAATCTTCTCGTGCCCGATTAAAGCTGGAGAGAAATATCTCAGTTCACTTGTTTACTTAGGTGTTGTTGATTGTAGTGAATTCATGGTGAGAGCAGATTAGCTCTCTCTGCGTTTGGGATTGCATTCTATTTAATGTTTTAGTAGTTTAAAATATTGTTACTGATTATATTGTGTGATACTGTGCGAATCCACTTTAGGAATTCACTTGAATGAGGGAAAATCCAGTGTTTTGTTTTGTTATATTACTTGTTATAAGAATAATTTTATTAACTTTTTATCGAACTTGTGCATTCAATCTATTATGAACCCATACACATGCAACAATATATTTCTTCTTTCTTAACTTATTTTAAACTTGCTTATATGATTTCATGTACAATTTTGTATTTTTATTCTTTAGGCATAAACTTGATGTTCTTTCATGTGGAAAAACTACAGCGCGTGTTCAGAAAGCAATATGCAGCGGGTTTTTTAGAAATGCTGCAAAAAAAGACCCTCAAGAAGGCTATAGGACCTTAGTTGATGGCCAAGTTGTGTATATCCATCCATCAAGTGCTCTTTTCAATCGACAACCAGAATGGTTAGTATTTCTGTAAATAATTATGGTGAAGAAGGAAAAAACATAGTCTTACAAAAAATGAGTAATCAATTGCATAATTGCATGCTTTCATTGCGTATTATCTTTCTAGGTTTTTGAACAAAAATCCTACTGGCTTGCCAACATTTAAAAGAAATACCAAATGTTACTTATTAATAAAATCAGGATTTGCTATTTACTAGTCATTCCTTTTACATTAAGTTCTAAATTTTTTAAAGTAAACATTTTAAAATTATTTACAGTTCACTGGCAGTAGTAGATAATATTAATAGATTTTGAAATATGGCAATTTATGTTAATTGTTCGATTTGGTTTAGCTCATTTTGTACAGCATCAAAAATATATTCTTTATTCTTCATTTTATGAATAACTTTAATGATCTTAAAAATTTGTAATATAAAAAAGGCACGTCGTTCAAATAAATTATTTTTAGAAGTTTGGACATTATATTACTAAATTCTTCACTAATAAATTCAATTTGGGAGGGCTAAATCCTATTTTTTGTGTAAATTTCTAATTGAAATGCTTTTTTCAAATATTGCAAATTGCACTTCTTTTAAATTAAAGTTACCAAATTTCGGAAAATTTACTAAAAACAAGTTGAAAATGGTGCACTAATGTCACCATTTTCGATTTGTTTTGTACATCATCTGGAATGTATTTAAAAAGAGAAAATACATTGACAAATTACAAAACGAAATATATTTTAACTTAAGAAAGGCAAACTTCATAAATGTGCCTGCATCATTTCAAGTAAGAATCATGTGCCTGAATTTACATCATTACCTAAAATGGTGCTGAACATTAAGTATTTAATTATCGATGATATTAACTGAATGTGAGGAATTTCATACTGGCTATGAAACTGGTAAGGTATGATTTTAACATAGCAGTAATAGTAAGGATCATATAAAAATGTCTGGTACAAGAAAGCACTAAAGTGAATCTATTGGGTATTTTCTTCAGCTTGAAGAACTTACTTTTCAATTATTGCCATAGCCATAATAGAACTTTATTCCCATAGCCATAATACTGTCATCATGCGGTCAAATGTATTCGCTTATGTGTCAAAATAATTTTTAGGCTACCAGCATATAATCTACTCTAGAGACTAATAAACATATTATGAAGTATCATTATGTTTGGAACAGATCTTAAATAAAACATCACTCATGTAAACAACAAGCATTCTTTAATAAGCCAATTATAGGTGCATATTTTTGCTCGTTTTAAATTTTGTTTTGTTGCCACTTCCAAGAAACGAAATGAACAATAATTATTGTAATATTATATATAATATGTAATATTATTACCAAAAAATGTAAGTTAGTAAAATTAAGTAGAAATACATATGAAATATGAGCCGTGCATCATCTGAAACCCAACATTCTCCCACCTTAAGATGTTAGAAAACAGCTGAACCTACTCTAAATTTTAAAGCCTTGGAACTTTTTTTAAAATAAAAATAAAATTAAAATGAAGAGATAAAAGACATTAATTAAAGATCAGGTATTCATACAGTCTACAAATCCAGTTTTTGGATAGGCCTGGCTAGTTTCCACTAAGCACCCTTCAACTCTTAACTGTTCATTTTTGTAATTTTTTAGGTCAAAAATTCTTTGTATAGAAGTTATCCTTTCACAGTTTTCAATTGTAGCAGTCTAATGATGTTATCTTTTCTAGATAGTAATTCACCAGGAATGGCTAATGCTCATTTGGTGCATTTAATATTATCACTCCCAGTAAGAATTACGTCTCCATGTTTAATACTTCGTTCATGCTTCTTTGGATCATACCTTTGAATCAAAAGTCCTAAATATTCGTATCTAAATCTTTTTTTGTACAATAGTGATTAGTCGTTGACGATATTTTAGCCCTTTTTCGAGAGAATGTTCATCAACATCAAATGCTATTTTTTCAAAAATCTTGTAAAAATGATTTGAGAGACAAAAGAATAAGTTCAGAATCTTGTTCTCAAACATAGGTAAATGGACAAGAGTTAATGACAGATTCTATATCACTCAGTACCATTTTCATTTTTTCAAAAGACAGTAGAAAATTTTCTAAAGTGTTCTAAGAATTTGTTTCATCATGCCAGCTAATCACTCCCCAAACCACTCCACCAAAAAGCAGTTGGGAGGTTGAAAAACCATTGAATTTTCTGAGTGGTTTTTGAAGTAGTGCACTAAATTTCTCTAATATTGAGGAGTTACATTCAATCAATAAGTTTCAAACAATTTGATGTTCCAACAGAATCACTTTCATTATTACAGTAAACTATAGAAAGTCAACTTCTGTGGGCTATAAACCAATGGAAACTTTGAAAAGAGCCCTCTGTAGACAGTGAAGAAATGAACTTATAGACAGCTCTATATGCAGCACAAGTAATATGCAAATTCAAGCTTTCGCTTCTCCTTCTTAAATGCATAAATTCACCCATATCATTTTTGATAATTTCAAAAATAAATGCATCCCATACTCGATTTTATGATAATGCAGAAATCGATGCTGTTAAATTTCTCTTTGCATATCTTAAGCAGATAACATATTTGGAATCTTAAGCAAATAATATATTTAGATAAAAGAGATCATAGCACTTGTTTCACATTTAAAATCATATAATGTTGGCTTAGAATACCCAGCAAAGTTTGAAAGCCAGCATAAGAGTACTTATGGTGTTCTGTCATAATCAACCTATTCACAACCTAATACTCTCATGGTAAAACAACTAGATGTCTTCTGAATCCTTCCAAATCTTGTTTTTAGTCTAATAATTTGACCTTATTTTCTATATCTTTGTCTTTTTCACAGGATAACTTTCCAATAATTTGCAAATTATTGTGCATTTAGACAAAAAAAAAAAAAAAAAAAAAAAAAAAGTCTTCTTTTCCAAATAATAAACCATATCACTAGGTCATAGCTTGAAAAATAATAAAAGTACCAATTGAACTGTAGTGTCTGCATTCATTACTTTTCTTTTCTTCAGTTCTATAGCTACATGCATTTGAGTAACTTAGAGAACAGATAGAAGAATGTGCCTCCCACCGTTTACTTGATAACAGTTGTTGTCTGATAGAATATCCCCATGCAGGCAAATCAATTATGTTCTGGATTCTGGAGAAGTGTTTTCATGCAAAAGGATCCCTTAAACTATTTATTTCATTCACTCATTGCTCACAAATATGTTCGTGATTCTTCATGCTGAATCTACCCTAAAACAGCTGTGGAATCAACTCAATAATGTTGTCAACATTCCACTGAAGTCCTTCTACAACAGATACAGACAATCGAGCTCCCACCATCAGCTCTATGCAGAAGCCACTCTAGTCTTGGCCACTCCACTAGAAGATAAACTTGGACAATCTTTGGAGGTTTCTTCACGAATGAAAATAGCTGCTGTGAAGGCTAAATAGCTATCATAACAAAAAGTATACCCAGAAATGTTTTATCTGCTTGGAAAACAACAGTCGCTTCCTTCAGTGAAAAAATTTTGAAAACCAGCTCATAAATTCCTTTTTTGTTTTGGCATTGACTACATAGTTCCAAGGTATGTTTTCTTTCCACATACTTTGCAATAACAGTTTGGGTATCAACAAAATAGAATATAATATAAACCAACAGGATTGAATGCTTTATATGTGACTGAAAGAATTATTCTTTTGGACAAAGTTCCTAATTTATAGCTGTCTAATCAGTCCAAATTTACCATCATTTTTTCTACCCCACAAAAGTCCTAACACACAAGTAAATAATTGAAGGTCACTATCATTGGTTTTCATCATTTCAACATACAGATATTTGGAAAAAGTACCATGACTAAGTATTTGTTAAATGGTTGGTTGTTATCCCATGATTCCAGTGTAAGAATCTAATAAAGTAAGATGTCAGATATAACAATTTTTATCATAGGGATGCATTTTATAGAACATATTCAAACATTTTAATTCAGCTTATGCAGCTTTTGTATGGATTTTCTATAGTAAGTTGTTCCTCATCTTACTAAAGATCTTTGGTAAAAGGAAAAAATATGTAATGTGCAAATTCACCTTAAAATACTTATCAAAATTATAAATCTGATTTAACTTAGAAATTAATCACTTTTAGGGATTATGTAAAAAGAAATTTCATTACATATAAATTTAGGCATTTCTACTCTTTAATTTAAAATCATTGCTTCTTTGGGGATATATTTTAATGTAAAAGGTATGTGCAAAGATGTTTTGAGCAGTATTTTTATATAGTCTGTAACAAGAGTTTTCTGTAAGTTGTATGTGTGCATGCTTTTAAAAAATTTAGTGCATAAAGAAAATTAACAAGCACACAGACAAACATGCCACTGATCAAAATAGTAGTAGTAATAACATTCTAATTAACTAAATAACATAGTAATTACATTCTTACATTACTTTTAAGATAAATGATATTAAATGTTTGTTTTATATTCACTGCAATTTAATACACATCTTGTGCTGTGCCATACAATTGTAGGAGGTAGTGTTGGTGTGCCTACTCTGTCTTCTAATGTGATAAGTAAGGTATGCATTGTTATACAGTGACTAGCACGTGATACGTTGTCTGCAAATGTAGCTAACAGCATAGGTATTTCATTGTATACTGTGTGTCAATATTTTTATATATAAACCATGAAATAGTTGAAACAGACACCAAATGGTAAAAATAAATTATGAATTCTATTGCAAAAAATATTTTTATTCGGCAGAAAAAAGTGGAATTATTTGTATTTACAGTCATAATGGATATTGAATGATTTTGTTAGTGGAAAAAATTGATAGATAGTTGAAAAAAATGGATTTTTTTAATGCCATTTAACTAGTAAATCTAACGTGGGAAGTGTAGCAAAACTAGGACAAAAATCCCTTGCTACCAGTTAACAGGATTAGTATGTTTATTAAATGAAACCCTGAATATTAACATCAAAAGAAAAATCCATTCGTGAAGAAGTGAAAATATTAATTGATAATGTATTATTAATAATTAAAATGAACCTTTTGCTGCTCTCTATCTGGGATATAAAGGATCATATAGCATGCTAAGATTCCAGAAAATTGGTGAAATAAGAATCAGGCTTTTTTGTTTTTAGAAATTATCAATTCCATGGTAAAAATGAACACGATAAAATAAATCAAAGCATCTAATTTTCACACTTGAATTGTCGGCAAAAGTTCTGATATTTTTATCACCAGATGTTTAATATTGTATTTAAAATTTAGATGTGAACATAATAACCAGTATAAAAGTATTTTTGATGGAATAATTCGATTAATCTTATGACTCTTTTTCAATTGTTTCTGCAATAACAGAATTTTATAGAGGGAGAAATATTGATTAAAAAAAGTATACTGTATTAAAAAAAAAGTATATATGTTTATTTCTGATGAAGCAGCTGTTATGCGAGGTGAGATAAATGGAATAGTAACAAACCTAAAAGAAAATATACAATATTTGATTCAGCAAAACTATGTCGCACATCATGAAATTAATGAGAGATATTAAAAGTTTGATAAGAACAATTTACACCATGTTTTCTAGATCTTCAAGAAAGCAAGATAAATTTCAAGATATTGTTACTGCTTTAAGAAATGAAGCTATTACACATATGTTAATAATTTTACTCAAATTGTAGTATTTTGAACATGAAATGCTGAAAAGAGAAGATGCTGTGGCGGAAAAATAAAAATACAGGGATAATATAAAAGTAAGAAGAATGGGGGAAAACCATTCTTCTTATTTTTAATTTCCCATTGTAAGAGAATCCTGCAACAATCATAAACCCTTACTGAAACTTTCTTTGCATTAGCGCAACCCAGTTTGTGCATTTTTTTTTTTTTTCTTCATTTTCTGCACTAAATACAGATCTTCCCCCTTTCCCCCCCCCCCCAGTCATTTAGATAAACCCGTGCTTCATTAAGGACCACAATGTATTTCCATTTATCTCATGCTAAATAATTTTCATACAGGACTGTAGAAATTATTCTGCATTGAGCTATGGCTTCTTGTGTTTGCTGTTTTAATTATTGTCGCTACAGATATATTTAAAGACTTTGCAACTGATTTTCTACATCAACAGATTTTCTCTTGTTACCACTGGTTTAACCTTATAAACAGTGCATATCTTCTTGGGTATTTATTTGGTGTCTTATTCCCAAATAGGAGTAATGATTGATGATTTTTTCCTTTCTGATTAATAAATGTTGCTTATTTTGCACTTAGAAATTTAAATACCATGCTTTTCACAATGTTCTTGAATTATGAATTAGGAATGTTTCTCTTCAAAAAGCACAAAAACTTATCCTTCAATCCACAGCTTTTTTACACACAACATTTTGAAAGAAGAATAAATTAAAAAGTAGCAGACAGTATTTCTCATTAAAAAAAAAAATAATAAAATAAGCTGTTGTCAGAAATTTTTATTCCAAACCATTTGCTTTTTTAAAATTCTTGATGGAAATTATTCTAAAAATGTGTAAACATCTTTTGAAGTTTTGATTATATGGGGATGTATTTTTATTTATTTCAATTTTTAATTTTGATTGTGAAAAGTAACATTTTTCATGCTGTATGTATAAAAATTTAAATTTCATTTATCTTTAGAAATTATCTTGTATTATCATAGTCTGTAAGCTTATTTATTATTTATTATTTTATGCGTAAATAGATTTTTAGTCTTTCTTAAACTAGAGCCATAAATTTGTTTAAAAAGAGTGAAGGTTTTGAACATGAAACTCTTTTTGTCACACCTTGCATTTTATACTTTATTATTATTGTAACAGAATGCTTATTTTTGTTTTTGTAGGGTTGTGTATCATGAATTAGTACAAACCACAAAAGAATATATGAGGGAGGTGACGACAATTGATCCAAAATGGATGGTTGAATTTGCCCCAGCATTTTACAAATTTGCAGATCCAACAAAATTAAGTAAACATAAAAAGCAGCTGCGTCTTGAACCTTTATATAACAAATATGAAGAGCCAAATGCCTGGAGAATATCACGTGTTAGGCGAAGGAGAAACTAAGTTATTTATTTTCATTGTAAAATGTGTAAATATGTAAAAATTAAAAAAAAAAAAAAAAAAAAAAACTTGTATAATAAAACATTTTTTATATTAAAGTGTGTTCTTTTAAATTTAGTTTCAAACATTTTCAATATGCCATGTTCAGCTTCAGTAATGAAATCACATTATTAAGTAATTTCAAATAAATAAAACAGATGAACTTAGGATAAAATATTAATGTTTATATAAACTTAATTCCTATGTGTTAGAATGTTAACAGTGAAATGATTTTACCGTAAGCATTAATGGAGTTGTTATTCATAATGTAATATCCAAACTACACATTTATGTATTTGGGAAACTATCTGTTCTAAAAGTCTTATAAGTAGTATTTATTTTCTTAAATCTAGATTGTGCATAAATTATGAAATTTTTTGATTGAAGAAAAATAATTTTTTTTCTTTTCCTTTTGCCTAAATTGTTTTAGATATTTCATGATTATGTTTATTCTGTGAAAATATATTTATTAACATTTTAATCTGCTTTAGAAGCTTGTCTGTATGAATGTTTAGGGGAAATAATATTGCTTAGTTAATAATAGCTATTTTGAAACAATATTTGTGATGTAGAAAATAAAATCTGAAATTTAAGTGTGACCCTTTTTAATGTTTACTTTTATTGTGGAACCCCTGTTTTGCTTCTGTAGTATTGTTTAAGTGCAACATACTGTAAATGAATTATTCACAACAAAAATTATGCTTATGTCAAATAATATGTACATAGATGGATTCCTCCCCCCCCCCAAAAAAAAATTACAATCATCAGTATTTGAAAAGTAATTATTGTGGAGGGAATACTTTATCCCCAAAGCACAGACAGACAGCACTAGTTGGTTGTTTAGAAGCAGTTGTGGAGGTATGTAGAGTAAGTTCGCAGACGTGTCAGAGCAATTGAAATGGCTAGACGTTTAGGAAAGTGGTCTGCTTTAGAGGAGTAAGCTATGGTTCTTTATCCTGATCAAGTTTCTAGAGTGTAGCCATATCGTTACTGCCGATCGTTATTGTGCCACTTTGACAAAGTTATGTGAAGTAATCCGACACAAGCGCCCTGGTATGTTGAGTGATGGTGTCATCCTCCTGTATAACAATCCCCATACTGCTTGAAAATTGGAAACTCCAAAATTGAGAAGTCTGGAGTCACCCCTCCCCCATACAGCCCAATAGCACTCATTGACTATTTCCTTTTTCTGAGATTGAAAGAATATTTATCTGGAATGAGATTCTCTTCAGGCAGAAAAAATTTGAAAACATCTACTGATAACTGGCTTAGCGGGCAGGGATGTGATTTCTACCAAGCTGGATTAAACAAGTTGACCCTACGTTCAGATACATGCATAAATAGATTTGTTGATAAAGTAAAAAAAGTGAGTGGCAAGTAGGGCTCTTAATTCGCTCTTGTATTTTGTTGTCTATTATTAATAAATAATTTTTATTACCCTTATAACCTTTTTTGGGGAGGGGGAATCCACCCTCCTATTTGTATCTAAAAGCAATTTCAAAATTACCACTTAAGTTCTTAAATTAAAGTATTCAAACAGGACATTTAAATTTTAATGAGATGAGCAGCACTGCTTTACCACAGATTGCACTTTTAGACTTCGTGGATAAAAGTTGAACTCTCATGTCAGATTTGCATCAATGAATTATTCACAACAAACACTGTTGTGGTATTTATTTTTTCATAATACATTAGCTGAGAATCCCAATCTTGCATACATGTAGTTCCAAACTATAGAAGTGCCAACACAGTTTTTTCTGATGGTTAAGGTTATTCATCTTTTAAACTGTACCAAAATTTCACTAATGAGCTGTACGGTATTTTTTTTTCCCCAACAATGAATCAGATGTTGTTTCAGTAACAGTTTATATTTCATCTTCTGACATGGTAAAAGTTCGTAAATTGACAATGAATGGGTTTTTAATCCACAATTCATTTGGATATTTAATTTGCTGCTCATTTGAAAATACTGATTAAGCACTTCACTCAAACCTTTCAGCTGCTGGTTTGAGTCATTGTGCATACACAAATTGTCCAAAATTCTTTTTCTTGAGAGCTAGAATTTTTCATGACCAGTAAATATAAATACATTTACTTTTTTGCTCTGAAGGATTAAATTCATTGATCTTGGTAAAAATGTTGTTTAAATAAACAGTTTTAAGCAGCCAATTTCTATGAAATAATAGACTTTGAAATCGTGTTCTAAAAAGAACAAAACGCTCGCACTTTGCTTTGTAGTTCAAAAATACGGGTTAGTATCCTTCCTTAAGATAACTTCAGTATATGAAAGAAAAGATGTGCGTACACTTACTGTGTCCTTACATAGTATTTTGAATAAATGACTTTTTAGTAGCCGAGATTTATGAAGTTGATGACTTTGAAAGCCTCAAGAGCAATTTTGTGACTGGGAGATAATATTTTTTCCAGGTAGTACCTGCCTATGTATCATGCAGTGGCTACTAGAAGAATTTTTGACCATTTCTTAAGCTAACTTCAGTATATAAATGAAAAGATGTACATACACTTCCCATGTCCTCACATAGTATTCTGAATAAATGACTTTTTAGTAGCAAAGATTTATGAAGTTGATGACTTTGAAAACCTCATTATTAATTTTTTTGACTGGGGGATAATATTTTTTCCAGGTAGTACCTGCCTATGGATCATGCAGTGGCTACGAGAAGAATTTTTAATAAGCTGCACAGCTACATGGCCTTTGCTCCATCAGTGCAGATATAAATGCAGGTATTCTTTGGTATTTTATTCTCTTAAGAAAAGAATTTAAGAAGCCATGATTTCAGATGAAATGTAAGTTTATTCTCTATATCGGCTTTTAAATCTATTATGTGTTAAACTATTGTGTCATTCGAAAATAAGATTTTAGCTATTTCATATAACGTACATTAGCAGCATTAGTGCCAGGAAGATAAAAGAAAACCTCTGACAATTTTTATACATTTGGACAAGGAGTATGGTTCTTATTAAAATATCCAATTATTTCCATCCACTTCTGAGCTGGGAGCATCTTATCTTTTTACCATTCCAATATTTTTTCTTCCGTGATATATTGTTTATGGTTAACATATTCCACATGCCATATCAATTTCCAATAATTTATGATTTGGTACCATTTTATTAATTAACAAAAGAGCTGTTTCAATTTGACTGTATGAAGGAATTTCATTTAATATGATCGGAATACTTTCTTTGTCCATTTCTCCAAATAAGTAAGAGCAGTCTGACAAAATGTAACAATAGCGTCTCAAAATTCGGTTACTTCGTATTGTGACACATCTTCATTCTCTTCAAGATTTTCTAAAGTTTTTAATATATCTGTTGGAATAAAATTATCCTCTATCTTGCTCTTTACTGAAGCTTTCAGAGCATTCATTGAAGCAATTACATCAAATACAGTGGGATTTTCAGTTGTTGTAATAACTTTACGAAATACTGAAGCCCGAGTTGAGTATTAATAATATGTAGCCACTGGGTTTGCAAAAAATTTAAAATAAGCATGGGATACTTTTCTTGAATTTGAAAATAAGCCTTCAGTGCTAAAAACATTTGTATGGAAAGTATAGCCAACCCTCTTGTTTATGAATTGAAAAATTGAAAAATCTGTTTCTATAAAGCGACAGAAATTTTCTACTCTAACAGTGTAAGAATTAAAGTATATCTTGGAAATAATTATATCAACTGTCAAAATATGAGCTGATGTTATTATAGTGCTATGAGTAATATTCGCCGCATATCCGACTTCGATTAAATCATGGTTAAGGTTTCCTTTTAGTTTACAAGGAAGCATTATTTTCTCTACGTCTATCAGGTCTTCCAAAGTTAGAATTCGCATTATCGGCACAAAGACCAGTAACTTTTTTTAAAATTATTTTCTTCAAGACAGTTAAATAGTGGCTGATATTATTGGATTTTTAAAGATTTAAATTCTAACATTTTTAGTCTAAATCCATAACTCCAATCTATAAATCTAACAAGTATTGGAAAAAGTTTTATTTCATTGTGATTTAACTTATCAATTAAGATTGAAATAAATGAACCTTTTTCCAAATCATTGTGCAAAGCTTTTAAAGCGTAAGATATGAAAATATTTAGTATTATTATTTCAGCTTTGGTCTGCGCACATGTAAATTTAGGCTCAAATGCCACTTGAAGGAGCATGGACGTACAATCCATAGACCTAAAGCTATGGCTGTGGCAAATGGGTATGGTATGGAAAAGTACAGTGCACAAAAAAAGGGGGGGACAGTTCCTATATCTCTCGTTCTACTGGACCGATTGACAAAATTCAAATTGCGACTTATATCTCGAAAGCGCGACTTAGGATATGTATTAGATTTATATATAGCACTATTCTAACATAAGTATTTTGACACAAAATCGGACTTTTTATGAAATAACATACCAATTTTTTTACATATTTCGATTCTACTACTCAAATTATGTAAGGTGACCATATTTTCTGGAGGGCAAAGCGGGACGCAGGGATCCAAATTTGGGTGGGGGGAAGGGCGAAAGCCCCTTCTCAAGGTGAAAATACGGAGTGCAAAATATTTAGTGAAGTCACATTATCCTATAAAAAATTACCCATCATTTGCGAATTAGCGTGTGTGTTAAACAGACTATTATTGAAAGAAAAAATAGAATTTATTCATATCTCAGACTGAATTAATTATTAAATCAACAAGAATCCATTCATATCTCAGACTGAATTAATTATTAAATCAACAAGAATTCATTCATATCTCAGACTGAATTAATTATTAAATCAACAAGAATCCATTCATATCTCAGACTGAATTAATTATTAAATCAACAAGAATTCATTCATATCTCAGACTGAATTAATTATTAAATCAACAATCACGGACTTTGGGATCTGGACTGAGACAACTCAGACGCGCTTTCAGTAAGAGTAAGAGCGAACAAAGAATAAAAAAAGCATTTGGAAAATAAAAGTTTGTAACTTCCTTCCTACCTACCTTACTGCTTGAATGTGTCCATCCAGCACATGACGCCGCAAATGTATTAATTCTAAGCGGAC